TATGAATGAAGTGACAACAGCAGGGGAATCAGGAGGTAGGTAACGGTTAATCAGGAAATATATATTAGAAAAGATAGTCAGAGTCAAATAGAATGAATAAGATCATACAGTACTCTACAAATAGATATATTCCAAAGAGTGTAAAATAATATGTATGTACCTGTAGCAGCATTATTGGTATGTTTCCTTGATATCAAATTCGGAACTATCCTACCTAATCCAGTCGAGAGTACCTAATTGACATGGAAATAGTTCTACTCTTATTCACCAGAGAAAGAACTTGGACTTGGAACCTGATGAAAATGAAAGATCTGATCAACTTACTGTCATTACAATCAGGGCACTGAGCGCACCAGATAATACAATGGACTTCGGGTGGCGCATAGCCATAAGTGCAGCTATTATAAACGTCTCATCTCCAATCTACACACATTCATTCTAGAAAAAATTAAAGGAATCAAACTTGAAGAAACAAGCAGTTAGGTCCAAAAGCACCATATTTCCCATTTCCCATCTTTTCGTCTCTTCAGTTCATGTTGGTAATTCAATTGAACTGATACTGCAGTAATACACCCAATAGCATATCGGGAATGGACACAATTCTACTGAAATTTTTCACAGAAAGTATAAATGAGAATAGAAATAACAACACCAACCTCACTGACAATTATCATGGACAAACTAGCAAAAAATGCGTCAAAAACTCCAAGACCAACGGAGTCCAGGTCAAGATTAAGATCTTCTGAGTCAACAACATCCTTTTTTGCAGCAATTGTGTCAACGTTGTTCCAGGAAATCTAATGAGAGGAAATACAGACGATAATAACATCATGAAAGAAATAAAACTAGAGATTAAAGAAGAAAAGAAAAAGGGAAATGATCAATTGGGACAACGCATCTTAATCTCAAATTTCTTTTCAGAATGGCATATTATGTTCCACAAGATACCCCATACAAGGCAAGAGAATCATTACTCAAAATAGTTAGTTCTACTTACAATGTAAATGGAAAACAATTATGTTCAAAAGCGCAAAGATCTCAATCTCAATAACCCCCAAACCCCCTCCCCTCCTGCCATGGCCAGAGTCGCAGCCTCACAGCCTCACAGCCCACCAATAATTTCATAAAATAGCTTCATCCAAAGTAAAACAAGAAAGACAAGGAATCATACTCACCTTGCTACGTCGACCGAGATCCTTAGGTCCATCCAACTCCTCTTTCTCCACTTCCGCAGAATAAACCTGAAAACACCGAACAAAAATTACAAACCAAACCCCCATAAGAACGCCAAAAAGACCAAAATTAAAGGTAGAGAAATGCGAGATGAATACCTGAACGGAGGCAAACAGAGAAACAAGAAGCAGGAGGAGGATCAAAGAAGGAGAAAAAGAGAGGTTTCCCGTAGGGTTTGAGCGCAAACCCATTGAAGAAAGCCGGATCAGTGATTCCAGAGGGAAATAACTGGCGCAGATTAAGCGGAATCTTGCTTTTTTTTTTTTTTTGTAGACAGGGATCTGAATCGGAGATGAATTAAAGAGGGTGGGATCTATCTCTCGATTGAAAGGAAGATCAGATCTGCATTGCTTTGCTTTGCTTTGCTGCAACTGTACACCACCACAATTTGAATCCGAGTGAGAGGAAAGGGGGAGATCCTTTCTTGGAAGCTAGAGATCCACCATAGCCCAAACCGTGGAAGCTTTTATTTAATTTTTGTGTGTTCTCAGAGCTTAATGTTTTGACCAACGGGTTCGAAAGTGGTGAATTAAAAAAGCGTTTATTCCACGGCTGATTCTTACCCTCCCAAAACCGTGTAAGGTCCACGACGGTGTAAAGACAAAACATCAATTTTAATCAAGTTGCATAATTTTTAACTTCAAAACCTTCCAATATCATCCAATTTCATTCCAAATTTAGAATTTGACGTTACAAGTGAAGGTGCTCTCGTCCGCACCTCGTCTATCTCGAGCTCTAGCGAAGTCTAACAAGTACGGAGGAATTGTCACTCATGACAAGTAACCTCTCGGTCTTCCTATATCTTCATATATATCTATCATAAAGCGCTAGTCAAAAGCTCCCTTAAACAGTGCAAGTAGGGTCCCCACTAACCACAACCGAAGCTCCCTTAGAATTACCATTTAATGTTCCACGAACCATAAGTGGGTGATGTCGCATTCCTATTTGCTAAGTAGAACTTTGTCAGTCGAGGTGAGTTCATGATTAGGAGTTGCACTCTTACTATCCATATATAGACCTGTTGTACGCTATCATGAAGATGTATTGTCATAACTCTCATTTAGTTCATAACCCTTTTGGTTCATATTCTTATTTTGATTCATGTATGAGAATTAGTATTATTACGTCTATATAAAGGCTTGTCTAGCATTGTTTTGAGATATGAGTCACTGTCATCTTATATTTGACTAGAGGCAATTGGGAGAAACTTTGTAAGAGAGACTTTGTAGTGCAAGAGTGTTTGTAAACACTTTGGTTACAGTGATTGGCTACCATCTGTGGATGTAGGAGAATTTCTTCTCTTCAAACCGTGTAAATCTGTGTCTCTCTGTTAAATTTTTGTTTGTGGGTTTGTGAATGCAATCAATATTGCTTCCGCTTCCGCTACAACAATTGAGTATAAGAAAAATTTTTGTTATGACATTTAAGGGTACAATCGTCTCCATGTATAGACCTAGTCAGTCCATATCATCATAAAAGGACCCCAAATGTGGCTCAAGGACCAAGGTAAGACGAATCATACGCTAAGGCTCTCTAATATATTATGCATATCCTCTAGATCACATAGCATCAAGTTCATGCATAAACAAAGTACAGTTAATCATATTATGCTCGAGTCCCAACCGGACATATAGATCCATCAAAGTCTAATTTAGTCCTAAAACATATAACCGAGCATAACCATACAATAATTCCATATTTCTAGGCTTAATTATCCATTTTCATGTTCAACTCAATCATAAAACATACTAACAGTCCATATGCTCGAGTCTTAGTTGATTGTTAGGAGTACTTTTTGTAAAACATATAATCGAGCTTAACCATACAATAATTCCATATGGTTTAAAAAATAAATTGATTTGACCTTAGATCGTGTAATAGGTCCAATCTTGTAGATGAAGAATGAATGATCATCGAACCTTCTTAGCTTTAATTGTCTATTACTTTGTGGGAGATAATATAATGATGTAACGTCCTCTTCCAATGGACCTGAGGGTCAACCCCAGTGCCATTATTTCCACGACGACGCTCTTTGATACCCTACTTGCCTCTGTCACTCACGCTCATCATAGTTATTGTCAACCTATTCTGTTTGCTTACCCACTAGCCATTTAACTTGAAAGTAGCAAAAGAATAGACAGCAACGAGTAATGAGATTGGTTAGATAGTCGGATCGTTTGTGTCGTTTATTTAAAATTTTATTTTTAATAAAAGTAAAATCTTAGTTGATAAAAAATTATTTATTTATTTTTAAACTTTTAATTAAGATTTATTACTCCATTTAAATAATAATTTTTTAATGATTCAAAAAGTATGAAAAATCTTGTTTGATTTTTAAAATAAAAAAATAAAATGTAAACTACTTATTTGGGCTTTGGCCCAATTTCCATAATGTGGATTTCAAGTAGTTTCTTATTTATTTTTCTTTGTTGTTTTTTTAATAATATATAATATATATACATACATACATACATACATATATACATACATACATACATATATACATACATACATATATATATATATATATACCTAATGATTAAATTAAAATTTCACAATTACCTGGGAACGTGTGAGTGGGAAGAAATGTGGGATGATTGTTTCATAAACAATAAGATTTTCGATAAAATTAAAATAGTTAATAATAATTAATTATCTAAAATTAAAAAATATAAAAAATGGTTGAAAATACTTATTACATAATATCTTACAAGACCCGAGTAGACGAGTCGAGGTCTAACGAGGTACCCACTACTCGGAGTACCCTCCCAAAAGGAAAAAGATGTGTCTGTCAGGTTCGGTTTTTCTTAGTTGGGTTGGGCGGGTTCGACCAGAAATGCTATGCTTACACACAAGACTACCCCTCCTCCCAAAAGCTACGAGAGGACTACTTTACAACAACGGACGACCGCCGGTAAGGGGTTTCTCAAGCCAAAATGTATTACTAACATTGACTATAAACATTAAACATTATGTATTTTTTTAAAAAAGTGGGATAGGGTTAGATTGGATTGACCGGCCAAAAAAATGTCGAAACACAAACCGAACTAAATTTTTAGTTTTCCAAAAATTTAACTCAACTAAAATCGGAAAAAAAAAAAATTAACGTTTATGGTTTGGATTACGTAATTCAAATTAATCAAGTTATCCGTTCATATGAACACGTCTAAAAAATTATCGTGAAAGAGAAAGATTCGAAATTTGTAGCGTTTTTCGTATACGCTAAGCAAAATATTAGCGTTTTCGTATTCTGTAATTTTTTTTTGACACATTGTGAATAATTATTTATCATGTTTATTGAGCATTAAATTTAAAAGGGTTTGTTGAAGAAATATGAGGGAGGACATTCATAATGCACACCACCAACTCCTTTAACCATTTACTTCCTATTTCTCTATGTTCAATTATTACTTAACCATTTGACTATTTGTAACCTTTCAAACCTCTAATTAGCGGAGCCGGCGGACATAGTTGAAAGTGGTGAAATCTCACATTGGTTAGAGTGGAAAAGAAACATGGGTTTAAAAGGACATGAAAACCTTTTATAAGCTCGAAAGAAAAAACGTAAAGAGAACAATATTTACTAACAGAGCTAGATAACAGGCAATGTGCTAGCAAAAATGCTGAGTCCCGAAAGAAGTGTCACCTCTTGGGGTGTCCTAACGAGGACGCAGGGTCGCATAATGCGAGTGGATTATGAGAAATTTCCCCATTTCGTATTATCACCATTCACGAGGGCCATTCCCTGTGGTTCAGAAATTAAAAGAATCTCATTAAGAACAAAGAAAAATGTGCATATGTGAGCGTGGCTTCGTCCAATTCTTCAACAACTTCATATATTTCCCCCCTTCTTCTTCACCCTTTTCCCACCTTCAAATGAAATTCAACCCCTCAAATCCAAGCATTTCAAAGTTGTACTTGAACTTCATGAACAAATGAAAAACTCCCCATGAAACAAAATCCCCCTCCCCTTTTTCTCACGATGTCGCCTTATGGGGTTCTATTTTCTCTCATTTTCCTGCTCTTTCTCGCCCACGACGCCTTTGAAGCGACCTCAATCCACGTGAGTACTCAAAATCCGCTTCTCCAAAGAACCCACATCTCAAAAAATCGAAACCCCATTTGGTTCCCATTTCCCTCAAATCGATTGGTTCAATCCATTTTCCTGCTCTGATTCTGGGTGCTTCTTGTTTCTTAGGTTAATGACTCCGACCAAGAACCGATGATGGTTCCATTGATGGAGAAGATGGAAACGACGGCGATGGTGATAAACGGCGGCCGACGGCAGCTTAGGAGCTTCCAGATTTGTGCTCTCTGCACCTGCTGCGGCGGTGCCAGAGGAATGTGCGTTCCATCACCCTGTTGCTATGCTATAAACTGTAACATCCCTAATAGGCCATTTGGGTTTTGCTCTTTTACTCCAAGGACCTGTAACTGCTTTGGCTGCCATATTTAATAAGCTTTCTTGTTATGATATTGACAATGGTTCATTGTTGGATCTCTGAAACTGTGGAATACAAGTTCTAAATTGTTCATTGTTCATGGAATTGTGTCTTGATTTGGTGTCTGTAGGAGATATCATAGCATGGTGCCATAGTTGAGCTTTTGAGGACAGAATGTACCAAGATTTGGCTTGTTGGGCACTGTTGATAGCTCTATTATGATGATCTTTGTGCCTTTTTTTTATTGCTTTTGCTTTGTTTGTTTGTTTGTTTGTTTCTGAGGTGGGTTTTGTAAGAGACTGCAAATCATGGCGTTTTCTGCTTCTGAAACTGTTCTGATTCATTCCATTATACGTTTTCGTTTTTGAAATGGCACTTTCTCCCACATCGGAATACCATTGCAGGTTTTCTATATATATATTTATATATATATATGCTCAGTCCTAACATTTTCCATTGAAGTGAACCCAGTGGTTGGTCTGCAACAACAACATGGCAATCATTTTTGTTGTAAAATTATTTTTGTGATTGAGTCGAATAGTTTGATTAGGTTATCGAGTCATATGAACACCTTTACAAATAGAAAATATTTGACCCATGATTTTGTTTGTTTGTTTTTTTAAAAGTACATTTGATTTAAATTATCACCTCTAACATCACTAATTGTTGCAATAAAGCCTCTGTCGTATTTATGCTAGTTGTTGACTTCAACTACAATAATGTGATAAGTTGGATGGCCAACAACTCCATCATTTAAATATTAAATATTTGTGAGATTGTAGGTAGGTTAAAGAGGAGAACGAAATATTTGTGGAAACCTTATTTAATTATGCATTTTAAAAATTTTGAGGGAAAGCTCGAAAGAGAAAGCCCAATGAAGACAATATTGGTTAGCTGTGGGCTTAGGTTGTTACAAATGGAATTAGAGTCAGACACCAAAAAGTGGACACTGGGTGATGTGTCAGTGAAAGGGAGGTGGATATCGGGCGTATGTTAACAAGGATGCCAAGCCCTAAAATGGAGGTGGATTGTGAGATCCCACATCGGTTGAGGAGGAGAACGAAACATTTTTTATAAGAGTGTAAAAACCTTTTTAGACACATTTTACAAACATTGAAGGAAGCCAAAAGAAAAAGTCCAAAGAAGACAATATGTATCCCGTTCTTAAACTCTAATATCGAGTGAGTACGTAATATGGTGTAGGTATGATAAGGTGCAAATAAAGGAGGGTGAAGAGAAGGGTTTAATGGAGGGTAGATGATAAGATAGGATGGGTAGGGGGAATTAATGAATGTAGGTGTAGCCACCCAAATAATGAAGACATGGTAGTTGGGGTAGTAGCCATTAAGACCCAAATTGGATGCTCATGTGCTCTAGTTTACTGCCTCTGGTTCATTTTTTACGTCAATTATTGATTTAAACGTCTGATCTTAAGAACATGAGTACATGCCAGTTACCGTTAAACTATGATACTCTTTAATATTTAGTTGATCGAAGAAAATATAAGCAACGTTTTGAAATGTTTTTATAGGCCAAGTCGCTCTAATTTTGACGTTTTTGTGTGTGATGGGAATGTTTAACAACCCATCCATGTGATGGTGTGTGAGACATAAAAACAAACAGTTGGTGGGCATTCTATTTTAGAACCTACCAAAGTGCTTCACATCCACACATCACCTGACCCCACCATTCATTTATGCTCTTCTAGTTCTTTATCATCATCTATAAGCCTTTCTTTTCTTAACTTCATCTCAAAAGAGAATGTCTTATGATTCAATTTTTTTGAACATCTTTAATGTGGAAATAGTAGCATCTTTTTTTTTTTTGGGTAATATTTAGCGTCGAATCGCGGTTAGTAGTAATGATATATTGGTCATTCTATTGAATCAGCTTCACGAAGAGCTTGAGGCTCATTAAAATGTGGTTGATGAATTACAACTTATCTTCTGAGATCCCACATCGGTTGTAGAGAGGAACAAAACATTTTTTTTTTAATAAAGGTCTGAAAACCTCTCATAGTATGCGCGTTTTAAAAAGGTTGAAAGGAAGCCTGAAAGAGAAAACCCATAAGGATAATATTTGCTAGTGGTGAACTTAGGCCGTTATAGTTACAATAAAGAAAAATAGGTAATGCATAATTTTGGTGAGCGCAAATGAGAAACTCGACTATGGTTATGAACTATAAGATGTTCTTGGTCTACCGTGGCTTTGGAATATTTGGTTTGCGATGAACACGTTTCTTATGAGGAAGAATTAAGGTAGTCTTTACCATTCTAAGCGTAATAGGCATCAAATTTTTGCACATAAACCAATTAGGGTCATTACTTAAAAACAACAATTCCGAGTTGGTTGAGTTGATGACTCGAACAACCCAATTCAGCTCAATCCTCTATTTTCGAGTTGGGTTATTCTTTATTTATTTTGAAAAATCATACCTATCTACGATACATGTTATATTAATAAATAAAATTTTATAAAACTCAAATATAAAACACGTCCCAATCACAATACATCTCTAGGTTACAAACATCAAATATTCTTAAATATCTCTTATGTTGTAATCCTATTTTTTGGTCGATTGGTTTGACCCGACAAAAAAAAAACGCCGACCCCTAAACAGCTTGATTTGATCGACGTAAATACACTAAATAATTTGATAAAATTACTAACACTTTTATAGCTCTTACAAAAGAAAGGACAAAATTATATTATGTATACATCAAAAGATGGTGATTATTAAGCCGATGAAGTTGAAGCTTTTGTGTGGAGTTGAACCAAGGAAGCATAAAATCCATCCTTGATATTAATCAAAGTATCATGCCTTCCCTTCTCGACTATAACTCCGTTCTTCACCACCGCAATGATATCAGCGTTCTTCACCGTACTTAATCTATGAGCAACTACGATGGTTGTTCTGTTTACCATCACTTTGTCTAATGCATCTTGAACTACTCTCTCGGATTCTGCATCAAGTGCACTCGTCGCCTCATCCAACAACAAGATCTTTGGGCTCTTGATTATCGCTCGTGCAATTGCTACTCGTTGTTTCTGTCCCCCTGATAGCTGAGCTCCTCTCTCTCCCACCATCGAGTCGTACCCCTGCAAGTTAAAAGTATTGATTTAACATGGTATTAGAGCGAGAGAAGTTGTAGAAGTATTCATTTTTCTCACCTGTTGTAAACCACTGATGAACTTATGAGCATTCGACAATTCAGATGCAGCAATTATTTCGGCCTCGGTTGCATCTCCGCTCTTCCCGTAAGCGATGTTAGCTCGAATTGTGTCGTTGAAAAGGATTGGTTCTTGGCTCACGAGACCCATTTGTTGTCTCAACCATTTTAGTTGAAACTTTTGAATCTCAATTCCATCAAGTGTGATGCTTCCAGAATCAGGATCATAGAACCTTTGCAGTAGTGAGATGACAGTGGATTTTCCACAGCCACTTTCTCCAACCAAAGCAACAGTCTGAACGAAGAAGCACGTAGAAACCAGAATGAAAACATGTTTTTTGGAAAGTTTAAGGTAATTGGACAAAACAAAACAATACCTTGCCAGATCGGATGGTTAAGCTGAGATCTCGGAGAATTTGAACGTCTGGTCTAGAAGGATACTTAAAGCTTACATGTCGAAACTCGATCTCACCCTTCAAATTTTCCAATGTTTCACCTGTTTCAACACTTGGGTCGATCTCTGATCTACGATCAATCATGGAAAATATGGAAGCCGTGGCTTCTTTCGCCTTGGAAGAATCAGGTGCAAGCGAACTCGATTGAGAAATAGCAAAAGCAGCCATGGTCAAAGCAAAGAAAACCTGCCAATGACATTTGATATTAATAGTTAGCTTCTAAACACGAGCTGCGTCGATTATGGGAGCATGAAATGACTAATACTTACTCGAAAAACGTCGGAGAAAGTTGCTTTTCCATCTTTAACGAAATGAGCTCCGGCGTAGAACGTCGCGGCATAGACCGAAAACAGTAAAAAGAATGATACTCCAAATCCTGTCCCACTGATCAAACCTTGTCTTATGCCTGATTTCATTGGACCTTCACATTTCTTTTTGTAAAGTTGCATCACTTTTTCTTCTGCACAAAATGATGAAACTGTTCTTATACTCCCCACGGCGTCGGTAGCGACTTGGCTAGCTTGTTCGTACATCAACTACGAAGCCATAAACAATGTCAACGAATATGCTCGTAGTAAAAATTCAACCTCTTTTAGTTAGTTTTAGATTTTACCTTTGCATCTGCACTAAATCCTTTCATAAACTTCATTTGGACGTAGCCGTTCATACCGAGAAGGGGAAACATGGCGAGGACTATTAACGCCAACTGCCAACTTGAAGCAAAAGCAATGACTAAACCAGCTGTAACAGATGCTAGATTCTCGACAAGTTGACTTAGCGCATCCCCAACCAGTGCACGCACGGTTGCAGCATTAGCCGAGAGCCTGCCGCCTATCGAACCACTAGAATTCTCAGTTCGATCAAACCAACCGACCTCATTGTTAACTATCTTCTCAAAACAAAGCAATCTAATCCGCTGGATTAGCTTGCAACCAGCAACAGAAAATAAGTATGTTTTAGCTGGAGCAGCTATTAATGATGCTATACCAAGCAACATCATTATCAATGCCCAAAATCTCGAATCCTTTTTTAGCTTATCGGGCGGTTTGTAAAACGTTTCGATCGCATTGGCAAATAGTAGGCCGAAAAGTGGAAGAATCATGCCATTGATGATTGCAGCCACAGATCCAAGTGCAAGTATGGGAATTTCTGGCTTATTGAGGTATGCAAGTCGACGGAGTGGGACTGGTGGAGATCGTTCCGTGGTGTTTTCAGGTGCACTTTCATCCGCCATAGGAACATCTGTGATCGGAACTGCTGCAGGTAAACCAAATGAAACTGAGAACGAGTGGCGGCTGCTGTTTCCTACTCCAGATGATCCTCTGCTAACGGATCGTCGGATCGATGCTCCTTTGCTATATCGTCTAAATGATCCTGAAGTACTTTCTTGTTTAACTTTATCAATTCCAGCTTCTTGGGACTCTTGGTTGACTTCTTGCAGCCTAATGAGCTGTGAGTAGGGTCCTTCAGGATCCTTGAGTAGTTCTGCGTGAGATCCTGATCAATTAAACAGTCAATTTATCAGACTCGGAGCCGAATGTTAAAAGACACTTATTCGTTTTCTTGCCTGAAACTTGTGCTTACAAAATATGAATGTTAGGAACTTCTTGATATCGTGTAAGATCCGACATTGGTTGGAGAGGGGAATGGAATATTTTTTATAAGGGTGTGGAAAACTCTCCCTAGTAAACACTTTTTAAAAATCTTGAAGGGAAGCCGGAAAGGAAAAGCTCAAAGAGGACAATATGTGCTAGCGGTGAGCTTGAACTGTTACAAATGGTATCAGAGCCAGACACTGGACGGTGTGCTAGCGAGGACGCTGGGTCC